TTTCCCGTGGATTCTCCCGTGGTTAACCGTGTTGTCCCGTGGTTGTCCCGTTTTTGCCCCGTATGTTGTATTGCCCATTGTCTTGTGGTTGTATTGCGGTTGTCCCGTGTGTTGGCTCGTGGGTTGTCCCGTGGATTGCCCTTGAGTTGTGTTGTGGGTTGTCCCGCTTGTTTAGCCCTGTTTGTCTCGTGGACCACCTTTATGGATGTCCAGTGCGTTATGTTGCATGGGTTTCCCGCGGAGTGTTCCACGATTGTCGCGTGTTTGTCCCGTCCGGGCTGCAAATTGGAACAAGTGGCACGCGTGCCATGACCCTTGCGCAGAAGGGAGGGGGAGGGGGCGGAGCCGGCGCGCTGGCTGGTGGATGGGGTGATGGACGGGGCGCTCAGGATGGGGGGGCGGTGCCGTGCCGAAATAAAGTGGTCGGGGCGGAGGGGGCGCGCTGGTTGGTGGGTGGAGTGGTGATGGGGGGGGCGTGTCGAACTGAATGGGTCAGGGCGGAGGGGGCGGTGCCGCGCCGAAACAAAGAGGTCGGGGCGGAGGGGGCGCGCTGGCTGGCGGGGGGGTGCGGAGGGGTCGCGGGGCGGAGGGGGCGCGCTGGCTGGTAGGTGGGAGGATGCGGAGGGCCAGGGGTCGGGCGGGGCGGGGCGGGGCCGTGCTGAAATCAAAGGTCGGGGCGGAGGGGTCGCGCTGGTTGGCGGGTGGGAGGGCGCGGAAGAAGCGCGCGGGATGGGGGGCGCCAAATAAATGGGTCGGGGCGGAGGGAGCGTTCTGACTAGCGGCTGGGGGGATGCAGAAGAGGCGCGCGGGGTGGGGGGGGGCGGGCCGAAAGGAAAGCTCGGGACGGAGGAGGGCGCGCTGGCTGGTAAGTGGGGTGATGCAGATGGGAGCGCTCGCGATGAAGTGGGGGGCGATGCCGTGCCGAAATAAAAGGGTCGGGGCGGAGGGAGCGCGCTGGCTGGTGGTCTGGGTGATGCGGACGTGGAGCGCGGGATGGGGGGCGGTGCCGTGCCGAAGTAAAGCGGTCAGAACTCTGGACACCCTGTGCAATATAGTAACAGTTGACTGGTGTGATGTGCAATCGGCACGTAAGCCGAGTTGCTTGTACACCAGATCTAAGCCGTTCGCTTACACACATCATCGCACGTCGAAAAACATGCCAAATGGGCACCGAAGTGCCAATTGACGTACACGTCGAAGCGCACATTGGAAGCGCAAAAGGAGCCGCAGGTGGAGCTCCTTATGGGGGCACGCAACCCGAGGGGGGGACATGCCCAAACTGGCATCCAGGGGGATGCGGGACGAGGAGGCGTGCGCGCGGCGCTGTGGAGTCAGAGCGAGGTTTAAGCAGTCGCCAGAGGGTCAGGAGGGGAAGAAACACACAGACACAATGAATCGTTGACTCCCAGGAAAGTTTCGGAAAATGTGGGAAGTGTTGGGGGGGGGGAGACGAAGCTCCAGAAAAGATTGGAAAAAAATTGGGAATCCTGGGATTTGTGTTTATTTCTATGTGTCCCAGGGCCCCTTTTAGAGGGGCCCGGAGCACTGCGGGCAGTGGCCTGCCGGCCAGGCCGGGAGGCCAACATATCCACCAACACGGCCTTGGGGTTTAGGAGGCTTCGTGGTGGTGGTGGTGGTGAGCGTGCGCTGTGGAAGAAAGCAGTTGTGGAAACAAAAACACAATGCGGGAAACACACACACAGCCTGTGAACAAAAGAACACACGGTGGAACAACAAAAGCACGCCTGTGAAAAAGCGCACAGTGGACAAAAAAAATGGCACAGTGTGTTTGTGATGTTCCACTGCGTGCTGTTCCACATGTGCCTTTTCTTCTCCGTGGTCCTCGCGACCGCGCGGTGCTTTCTCCGCGTTGCCGGCTCGCGCGTGCGCCTCAGGACGAGGACCGCGCCATCGTCATGAAGCCGTGCCCCCAGCGTGCGCACCGGCGCGGCCACCGCGCGAGCCAGCCCCAATTCCCTCCTCCCCGTCCTCCGCCTCCTCGATCCCCCCCTCCTCGCTCGAACCACAGCAGGGAGAGAGCGGGTGAGCTGTGCGCCGTCCTCGATCCCGCGATCCCCCCCCCCCGCTGGCCCGTGCCGGCGTGCTCGCGGGCGGGGGCGAGGGAGAGCGAGCGAGGGAAAGAGGAAGGAGAAGGGGAGGGACAGACGCTACATGCATCAGAGGGAGAGCGAGTGAGGGGGAGGGACAAACGCTACATGCATCAGCACTGAATCTGCTCA